AGGTGCGCGCCAGGTGCGCCAAGGGGACAGGGAGGCGTCAAAGTGGTTTGCGTAAGACGTGCCTCCGCTGGGCCTTCCAGGAACCCACGAAAGTGGCGACAGTTGCGCAGATCGCAGCCCCCTTTCAGGGGACAGGGAGGCTTCAAAGTGGTCTGCGTAGGATGTACCTCCCCTGGGCCTCCCAGGAACCACGAAAGTAGCGACAGTTGCGCAGATCGCAGCCCCGCAGGGGACAGGGAGGCCTCAAAGTGGTCTGCGTAGGACGTACCTCCGCTGGGCCTCCCAGGAACCCACGAAGTGGCGACAGTTGCGCAGATCGCAGCCCCGCAGGGCACCACGAACACAGGAGAGAAGAAGGAGGAGAGGGCGGGAGGTGGATACCACAGTGCTGCTCTATTCAAAACGAGTACCCAACACAAGGAGGGTTGGGAATTATGTAAATGCGCGGAAAGCGAGAATATGTTGAGTTGTTGAGTGCCCGCTCGAGGATGGTGCGCCCCCCGCGCCAAACAATCGAGGATGTCTCGAGCGAAACGCTTGTTTTGCAAAACTTGAGGGACCTGGGCGCCCCAGCATGCCCCAGGAGGCCCTGGGAGCGCGGACGCGGCGTAATCTAGGAGGGATCGTGGCGTTTGGAGCACGGACCACGCGTACTCTGCGAGGGATCGTGTCCTTCGGAGCGCGGGCGCAGCGTAATTTACAAGGGGTCGGGGCCTTGGGAGCTCGGACGCAATGCAATTTACGATGGGTCGTAGCCCTTGGAGCGCGGGCGCATCGTAAAATACGAGGGATCGGGGCCTTGGGGCTCGGACGCAGTGTAATTTACAAGGGATCGTGGCCCTGGGAGCGCGGACCGCACGATGCGGGACAAGGCGTCGAGCAAGTTACGCTGTCGGGCTTGGTAAGATGGAGCCGAGCCGCCAGCCAGACATGCCAAGACTTCCATGTTGTCGCCTGTGATGTGAACCTCCAAGGGCTGCAGGTCCTCTTTGCCTAACTGTCAATCCAAACCAGGGCTCATTGGGCCGCGAATACTTCACCCATAAAGGAGAACTGTTCTGGGCTGCAGAGATCCAAGGCATCAACCGTTAAGGTGTTAGCGGAAAAGAAGCGATTAAGGCGCAATTGCCCGAGACGTCCGTACCCAAGACAACGACAACCCAAGAAGGAAGCCCTTTGGCACGAGGAAGTGGCTGACATGGTATTAGGCCCCCAGTCGACTACCGCCCGATCCATCAACATATACTGTCATGCTCTGTAATGCATCCAGTGCCTGAGCGGAAGTTAGTGACGATAAGGCCTGAACAGTGGAGGAATGCAAGAACGTAGCAATGCTAAGGGTATCTTGACACAGAGGAGTGCCCCAGGATCGAAACAAGTTATCCGTGAAGCTCTGGGCGGGCGTGAGCGGACTCCGCCTGCAGCCCCTCATGGGGGCCGCCTCGTCCATACTTGGAGTACCAGGAGCCGACGGCTGCGTGGGGGTATGGTTCCCGTCCCTGTGGTCCTCGTGCGGACTCACCGTCGGCGAAGTAGACCCCGCCTCTCGATTGGATCCTGCTGCACTGGTCTCCTCGGCTGCGTCGACCATGTTGAACTTCTGCGGGGGCTGGTCCCCCTCCGCGGGCTCCTCTGGTGATGGTCTCGTCGTGCCCTTCTGCTGCTGTTTGAACGAACCGAACGACTTGACCTGGCCAGGCATGGATCCTGCTGCCGCTTGCCAGGCTGGTGGGGAGCTGCGCTGCTGTCCCGACAAGGCTCGGCACGCTTTGAGCTCCGTGTCCGACAGGTCTGGCAGGTGATCTGGGCTGAGCGATCCCGCTCGAGCTGCCTGGGCAGCCCGTTGCTGCGAGGCTGGTACGCGGTGGGCTGCCTCCGCCGCTGCTCGAGCTGAAGCTGGAGAAGCCTTCTGAGAAGATCCAGATGCTGATGCTGTAGCTGATGTGACCGCCGAAATAGAAGCCAATGAAACCTGAATGGTCGGCAACGCCTGCGTCAACTGGGCCACCTGTGCTGTCAATTGTATTTGCCCCGTCCGAAGTTCGGCAATGGCCTGAGGCATGGCCGGAGCAGAACTGGTAGCTGTCATACCGCTGCCGCTGCCAGGCGTAGAAGCTGATGCTGGGCCTGGCTCGATCTGCATCGCATCTGGCCGCTGCGTGGGGCTAGTGAACCGAACGCTGCGCGGCGTGCCAGGTGCTCAGGGTGGTCCTGATGCTGCTCGCTGGGCCGCCGATGCTGCTGCAGCTGCTGCCACTTCGGCTTGTTGCTCCTCCTCGAATTGCATCTGCTTGACATGACCGAGTAGGAGAAGAACCTGCTCCGCGTCGCGTTGCAGGGCGGCTCGAGTGGTGGCCGCGCGAGCCAGCGTAATCCTGGCCTCCTCGGCTGTCGTGGCCTCCGTGAGGCGCGCTTCTGGACCCGCTCCATGTACTTCTCCTGGTTGGCCACGCGGTCGCGCGGCGCGTAGGCGTGGACGTGCATGTGCAGGTAGACACTGTACTCAGTCTCGATGGGACGTAACATTTCTGCTGAGGCTGCAAGAGCCTTCGTGCTGGACAGCTGGGCCTCGAGGGCTGACAATGTCGACTTGATCTGGGACCTGTAAGCTGACAGCTCCTTGGTCCCGCACGGTGGGTCTACCCAGCATGAATGCTTGCGGGCGTCTTCGGGGGCGGCTGGTATCAGCCCGTGCGCACTAGAAACTGGAGACGAAGACTGACTCTGAGCAGGTGCTGGCTGCTCCGACGAAGCGCGTGATCCTGTGCCCGTGGCAGGTGCTGGCGTCGATTGTCCCCGACTTCCTGCAGTCGGTCTGGGTCTGGACCTCCCTCGTGATCTGCCATGGGTGCGCTGCGGGGCTGGATAGCATTGTACACACCAGCGCGAGGACTGCCAGTTGACGGTGTTGCATGCCCCGCGTCGCCATGTGTGAAAGAGCGTGTTCGACCGCTGCTGGCGGAAAACCGGGGGGGGTCACTACCGCCCCCCCCCCCCTCCCCCTCCCCCTCCGGAAAACCGGGTGGGGGTCATTACCGGTTCGAACCCCTCCCCCCCCCCCCCCAGTTCATCATGAAAAGGGGGGAGGGGGTCACTACCGGTTCGAGCCCCCCCCCCCTCGAGCTCGAAAACCGGAGGGGGTCACTACCGGCTCGAAAACCGAGGGGGGGTGCGGACAGTGTTGGGGACGGTGGTGGTGGGGACAGTGGTGAGGGGACAGCGGGACAGTGGTGGGGACAGTGGGACAGTGGTGGGGACGGTAGTGGTGGGGACAATGGTGAGGACAATGGTGGGAACAGTGGGGACAGTGGGACAGTGGTGGGGACGGTGGTGGTGGGGACAGTGGTGTGGGGACAGTGGGAATGTGGTGGAAACAGTAGGACAGTGGAGGGTACAGTGGTGGTGGGGACAGTGGTGAAGGCGGTGGCGAGGACGGCGGTGGGACAATGGGACAGAGGTACAGTGGGGACAGTGGTAGGGACAGTGGGGACAGTGGTGGGAACAGTGGGACAGCTCAGTGGTTCGAACCGGTAGTGACCCCCCCCTCCGGTTTTCGAGGAGGGGGGGGGGTTCGAACCGGTAGTGACCCCCCCCGGTTTTCGAGCTCGAGGGGAGAGGGGGGGGGGGTTAGGGGAGGGGAAGGGTTTTGCCGGGGGAAGGGGGGGGGGGGAGGGGTTCCAGCAAGGGGGGGGATTTTCGGAGGGGATGGTGGGGGACCCCCGGGTTCCGGAGGAAAAGGGCGGCAATTTTCCACAGTAAAGCGACGGTGGATCACGCTCTCTCCCATGTGTCAGGGCCCGGTGAACGCCATGGTGGATCCGTGTCGCTGGGCATGCTGTTGCTGCTTTGATGCTGCTGCAAGAGCGCCTGGGCGGCCTGGACTCGCAGCAAGGCCTTGGCCTGGCTTCGAGCCGCCCTGGCTCTCCAGTGCCAGGCGGGTTCGGGCGGTCGTTGGTTACCAGCCTGGAACATATCCCTATCCCTATGCTGGGCATCTCCTCCTCACGATGCCAATCTTAGGGATTCCCTTATTTCTTGAGGGCGCATCCCTAAGACTGTCATCGCATTTCGGCGTGTCAATCTTAGGGATAGGGATGCGTTCAAGTTGGGCCCGAATCGCGCCGCCGGGCGCCGCCGGGCGCCGCCGGGCGCGCCGCGGCGAGGGTGGGTGGCCCTCGCGGGCGCCGCGGGGCGCTGGGCAGCGCCAGGGAAGCGCTGCCTGGAGCGCTGCGCCGATGCAGAGCATTACCAGCCTCGAACATGTCCCTATCCCTGAGATTGACACGCCAAAAAGCGATGGCAGTCTTAGGGATGCGCCCTCGAAAAAGAAGAGAACCCCTAAAATTGGCATCGTGATGAGGAGATGCCCCGCATAGGGATAGGGATGTGTTCCAGGCTGGTAAGAACACGGCAAGCCCGCGGCCAGTGGCTGCGGCTGCGGGCCTGTGTGCTGCCGACGTCCCGAGGGGCGCGCAGCTACGGGGGTTGCTGCACCCGGGGCCCCTAGGCCGGGACGGCGGCTCGCCTCAGAGGAGCGAGATAGGGGGGAGGGGGGAAGCGCGGAGCGAGGGGCGAGGGGCGAGCAGCGAGGAGGGAGGAGGGAGGGGGGATGAGGGAGCGAGGCAGGAGGGAGGAGGGATGAGGGGGGAGGGATGGGGGAGGAGGGTGGAGGGAGGAGGGAGGGAGGAGGGAGGAGGGAGAGGAGGGAGAGGAGGGAGGAGGGAGATCTGGGCCATCGATGCGTTGAGGCAGCTCGAGCTTAAGATCCAGATCAGTGCGGTCTGGATTCGGATGCCAAGGGCGACCTAGTTCGAAACGCTATAGAGCACAACGCAATTGATCGCGGCATGACCAATTCTGTTTCAGCACAGCACAGCACAACACAGTCCTGGGCACCGTACATCACGATCGATATTTTCGGCATTGCAATTGCATGTTGCCCAATCGGGTGCTTCGAACATGTAACCATTCCCTCACATTTCCAATTTCCTTGCTGGGTTTGTAGGTCGCGCATGTCGGCTCAAGACGTTTCTGAGATTGTTCGTCTACTCCGCTATGAGGCGCAACGCAGTCTGCATAGCGGCTGTCATCTTGTGTGGTTGCATGCTGGCCAGCGTTCCCAGGTTGAGCAGTCGAGATTCGGTGCGATATGTGCTGCCCTCCCTGGGTGCTTATGGCACAGCAGGGACCGACCGCGCGCCCGAAAGCCGCGGCCCAGAGGCCACCACCGACGGGAGACAACCGACTGGAGATGCACTGCAACGTCAGGCTGGAACGGAAGTCGCCGCGCAGGTCCCGGCGGGCGGCGGCGGGGGTGCAGCGGGCGGCCGCGCGCCCGAAGCCGGCGGCCCGAAGGCGCCCGAAGCCACCAGGTCGAAGGAGGAGGCGGGCCAGCAGCCCGGGGCGGAAGTCGCCGGGCCGGTCCCGGCGGGCGGCGGCGGGGTTGCAGCGGGCGGCCTCGCGCGCGGGCCAGACGGCCCGGAGGTGCTCGACAGCAAGCGGTGGACCGCAGATGAGTTGCGCGAGCAGCCTGAGAGGATGCGTTTTTTTCATCCACGAGGAACTCATGGCTCCCAGGGCGGAGCTGATGCGCTGTTGGCTGCATGAACTGCTCGGCGTTCATGAGACCATGATCGACGTGGACGAGAAGGTGGGCGTCGGTATGGCAGAGCATTTTCACGAGTGGGATTTGTTGTCGCGTTTTCGAGAGCATCCGCAGAGAACGTTCGACGTGGAATCAGCTCATTTACATGTTGTATTCCTGTTTCAAACTGCGCCCGATCAGAAAATTAAGCAGTGCAAGAATCGCTCGGGGTCAGGTAACCACAGTCTCCAGTCAAGCTGCGCTGCCGCGCCTTTCCGCCCGCGCGGTTCTGGGGAGGGCGCAGGACGAGGAAATAGTAGACTTGTGGGGGGGCAGTTGGTAATTATGGCAGGCATCTTGGGGTGCTCTGATGCCATCTGGGGGCAATACGTGGCTGTCTTGGCGTGGTCTTGGGGCGGCTTGGGTCTGGGCTCGACGTGGGGCTGTCCGCGGGATGCGTCGGGGGGCATCCGCCGGGGCCGTCCACGACGTCCCCGTGGCCGTCCTGGGGCCTTCTCGGTAACCGAAAGCCCGCGCCATGGACACTTTTCGGGCCGGGCGAAAGGGGGGGATTGGGAAAGGGGGGGTTACGAAATTTGCTGCATGCAGCTGGTTTCGGCCTCACCGAGGGGCCCATTCCTCGATACATAGCCGCCTCCGGCGCCGGGAGGCGCCGGGAAAATCAGCTACGTGAGCTGATTCTCAAACCCCCCTTTGCTATCCCCCCCTTTCGCTCGACCCGAACTATCTAGATGACACCTGCATGGGCACCAAGAGGCGACTCGGTGAAATAAATCTGCGGGGGGACCGTCTAGGAGGTGAAGTGCGGTCCGATCGGGGTATAAGATCGAGGTCGGTTCGGGGAGGGTGCCCTGATGTTCTGTGTGTTTATTGTGTGTTCTTGTGTATCCTGGGGGAGGGCACCCTCGAGTGATCTTATGGTTTGGAGTGTTTGGTCAGCGGAGGGTCGCAGGTTCTTGAAGGATGATTTTGTCACAGGTCCAACCTTACATGCAGTGCAGCCTATGGGGTGCAGTGCAATCTGTGGTGTGCAATTCATGCTGTGGATGACGTGTCAAGATCATGGCAGCTTGATCTGCACAGGGCGGTGCTGTTTCGAAAACGAAGTGGCCTTGTCCACGCCCATCGCTGCAACGTGTAGGGGTGGATATCTCCTTGAGCAGATGCGGCTCCTTCCAGCTTTCCAGCGGCGGGAGAAGTTCGCCATCAGCCACCCATCCTTTAATAAACCTCCCATGTGGGTAAGGGACGCCTTCTTTGATTCGAGGCACGTTATGGTCCTGGAAGACGACTTCTGGTTTGGTGCTCCGCTCGTCAAATGCTTGCAGGTACCATATGTTGCGCATCGCCAGTTGGATGCTGTGGCCCGGGGGAGCACATCCAGTCTTCAGGAGGTTCAGGTTCGGAACATAACTTTCATGTTCCATGGCAAAGGATATCGAAATGCAGAAGGGAGAAACCGAGGTATTCTGATGAACATGATTCGGGGGAATTTTAGCGACACGAGCTTGGTGGACTATTCTTTCGAGCGCGACAAGGACCAGGCCGCCCAGTTCAGGCATATTCGCGAAACGGCGCAGATTTATCTAATCGCTTCGCTCATTCCGCCGGCCCATTTCACACCACCGTTGGCGCGTGGTGGTGTGCTCGTTCCCGGGAGGAACGACAGGTCAGGCAGGACTTTCCTTAAGGAGATCGGTGCAGATGCGCCTGTCAAGAGTGCTCGAGAGGAGGAGGAGGAGGAGGAGAAGGAGGACGAGGAGGAGAAGGAGGAGGAGGAGGAGGATAAACAAAAGGCCCCTCGAGGCAGGCAGGGGAACAAGCCAGGTCTTGAGCAAGGCGCTTCTCTGGGAGGGTTACGGAGGTCGCTCGGGAGGTCTCTCGGGAGCCTCCCGGCGGGAACCTGACACCTCCTGGGGCGTCTGAGGGGCCTCTCGGGGCAGTTTTTTTCCCGGGAAGGGCCTGAGCCTAGGGTTCTCTTTTAGAGGTTTACCCCTGGGATCGACGGCTGTAGGGCCAGCGAAAATATGCGCCACAAATGACGAGGTCGCGTAGGGCTGGCGAAATTATGATCGAGGGTATCTCGAGCGAAACGCTAGTTTTTTGTGTTCAGAATGTGTTGAGGATTTCTTGAGCGAAACGCTGATTTTGTGTTATAGATTGTCTTCTCCTGCGGACCAGACTTCAGAGGATCTCTCAAGTCAAATACTTGCTGTCACGTGCCCAGGTTTTGAGGATGTCTCGAGCGAGACGCTTGGATTCACGCGTCCAGGTTGCCCAGGCAGATGTCTAGCATGAGGGTTTGCTGAGGACGTCTCGAGCGAGACTGTTGTTTTCACGCGTCCAGGTCGCCCAGGCGGATGTCTCGCACGTTTCCTGGCACGTTCCGTGGCGCGTCCCGTGGCGGGTCCCCCTGGCACGTCGCGCGGCACGCTCCCTGGCACGTCCCGAGGCACGTCCATTGGCACGTTCCGTAGCGCGTCCCTTTGGCACGTTCCGCGGTGCGTCCCCGTGGCACGTCCAATGGCACGTCCCCTGGCGCGTCCCTTGGGACGTTCCGCGGCGCGTCCTCTTGGCATGTCCCCCTTGTCGATATAGCCTTGGGGCAGCTACTATGTGCCCAGGCAGCTCGAACTTAAGATCCAGATCAGTTCCGTCAGGACTCGGATGCGAACGAGGACTCGATCCACACCGCTATAGAGCACAATCGCGGCATGGCACATCGCAGTTCAGCACGGCGCAGCGCAGCACAGCCCTCGGCACGGTACATCAAGATCGATACACTCAGCATTGCAATTTGGCACGTTCCTTGACACGTTCCGTGGCGCGTCCCGTGGCGAGGCTCCCTGGCACGTCGCGCGGCGCGTCCCCTGGCACGTCCCGTGGCACTTCCATTGGCACGTTCCGTGGCGCGTCCCTTTGGCACGTCCCGCGGTGCGTTCCCATGGCACGTCCCCTGGCACGTCGCCTGGTGGACGTTCCGCGGCGCGTCCTCTTGGCATGTCCCCCTGTCAATTAGATCGTGAGAAGCTACTATGTGCTCAGGCAGCTCGAGCTTAAGATCCAGATCAGCTCGGTCAGGACTCGGATGCAAAGGAGGACTCGATCCACAACGCTCTAGAGCGCAATTCAGTTCAGCACGGCGTAGCACAGCGCAACCCTCGGCACAGTACATCAAGATCGATACACTCAGCATTGGATTTGTCCGTCGCCCAATCAGGTGTCGTTGAAACGTTGCCATGCCTTCCATTTCTATTTTCGAAAGGGCGCGTTCTGTGGTCGCGTGGAAGGGGGGGTGGGGATTGAAACCGCCCCCCCCCCGCACCCTGGATGGAGAGGGTGGGGGGGGTTCGCGTGACGGAGGGGGGGGGTTCAACCCCCCCCTCCCTTTTCCCCTACTTCTCTTTTCTCCCTGTCCTCGGGCCAGCGCCTGCGTCGGCGGCGGCTGCCGGCGGCGGCGGGGAGCGTCGGCGAGGACGACGGCGACGACGATGACGACGACGACGCTCCGCCATCGTGCCTTGGTTTTGAGTCATAGTCCTGATGGATGCCTCTTGGGGTCTCGTCGGAGGGCTCTCGGGGGCCTTTGAAGGGCATTTGTGAAGCCTCCTGGCCGCCTCTTGGGCGTCTCTTGGGGCCTCTCTGCGGTGGTGGTGGTGGTGGTGGGCTGTGGTGGTAGTGGTGGTGGTGGTGGTTGTGGCGGTGGTGGTGGTGGCGGTGGTGGTGGTGGCGGTGTGGTGGTTGGTCGTGGTGGCGGTGGTGGTTGTTGTGGTGGTTGTGGTGGCAGGTTTTGGTGGTGGTGGTGGTGGTGGTGCGGTGGTTTCTGGTGGTTGTGGTGATGGTAGTTTGAGTGGTGGTGGATTAAGGTGGTGGTGGTGGTGGTGGTGGTGGTGTGGTGGTTTGTCGTGGCGGTTGTGGTGGTGGTTTGGTGGTTTGGTGGTGGTGGTGGTTGTGGGTTGAGAAGGTGGTGGTGGTGGTATTGGTGGTGGCGGTGGTGGTGGTGTGGAGGTTTGTCGTGGTGGTGGTGCTGCTTGTAGCGGTGCTGGTGGTGGTGGTGGTGGGTGGTTGGTGGTGGTGGTAGTGGTGGTGGTTGTGGTGGTGGTGTGGTGGTTTGTGGTGGTGGTGGGGGGTTGTGGTGATGATTGTGGTGGTGGCGATGGTTGTGATGGTGCTGGTAATGGCGTAGTGGTTCTCGGTGGTGGTGGTTGTGGTGGGTTGTGGTGCGTTGTGGTGGTGCTGATGGTGCTGGCGTTTTTTCGTGGTGGTTGTGTAGTGGTTTGTGGTGATGGTGGTGGTTGTGGTGGTCGTGTGTGGTGGTGGTTGTGGTGGTGGTGGTGTGGTTTGTGGTGGTGGTGGTGGTGTGGCCTTCGGCTCTTCCCGCCAGCGTGTTTTGGCTTTGGGTCAAATTTTTAACGGATGCCTTGTGAGGTCTCGTCAGAAGGGTCTCGCGGGCGTCTAAGGAGCATGTGTGAAGCCTCGTGGACCTTCCTAAGGACCTCTCGGTGGCTTCTGGGGGGCGAGAGCTCGATATGGCGATTTATGTGTTCCCTCTGCTGCCTCTGAGCCCTCTCTGGTAATCGTCGCTGCGTCCCCGCCGCCGCGGGAAGGGGGGGAGGGGGGGTTTGGACCCCTCCTGGGCTGCCTCTGGTCATCGTCGCTGCGTCCCCACCGTCGGCGCTGCTGGCGGCCGCCAGCGCCTGCGTCGGCGCCGGCGCCGAGGGGGGTGGTTCGGGGAGGGGGGGTTAGGGGGAAAGGAGTTTCCCTTGTTCGGATCGACGGCGCCAAGTGTTTGGGGGGCCTCCCCCCCGTCTCGAAACGCGCCGCCGAATGTCCCCAAGGTGAGCGACCCTGAAACGTGCTATCTCACATTTCCTTTCCGGGCTCGTGGGCCGATCATGTTTAAAAAGATGGCGGAAGCCATGCTTCGAAAACCACCCGCCCTCCATCGGTGAAGCTCTTGCAAATTTTTGCAAAAAAGGAAAAGCGCGGCGCTAATGCTAGAGTCACATTTTGAAAACCACCCGCCCTCAATCCGCGAAGCTCTTGCTAAGTTTAATAACGAATGTGCGCGGCGCCAAGGCGAGAGCCACATTTTGAACCCCCCCCGCCGTCAATCCGTGAATCTCCTGCAATTGTAAAACGATGCGCGGCGCTAAGGCGAGAGCCACAAGTTGAAAACGACCCGCCCACAATCCGTGAAGCTCTTGCGATTCGTGATGCAAGGAACGATTGTGCGCGGCGCGAAGACGAGAGCCACATTTTGCCAACCAACCGCCCTCCATCTGGGAAGCTGCTGCCATTTTTTTAGCTTCAGAATCAGAAATTGTGAAGAAGTCTCAGGCGAAACGCCCGGCCCGCCCTAAAAATTGGCCTCGGGGTGCGACAGGGAAAAGTGATTACAACGAAAGGGAATGGAGGAGGAGGAGGAGGAGGAGGAGGAGGAGGAGGAGGTGGAGGAAGAGGAGGCGGAAGAGGCGGAGGAGGAGGAGGAGGAGGCGGAGGCAGACGCGGAGGCGGAGGCGGAGGCGGAGGAGGAGAAGGAGGCGGAAGAGGGGGAGGAGGAGGAGGAGGAGGAGGAGGAGGAGGAGGAGGAGGAGAAGGAGGCGGAGGAGGAGGGGGGGGAGGATCAAGTTAGGTGCGCTCGCGTCAACATCTGACATCCTACCCCTCCGCCCCATCCCTTACCATGGCGCTGATTTTCTCTATCCGCGGACGCGTGTCGTAGCGGACCTGTGGCTCCGCGCGCGTGTGCGTAGTGGGTGGTGGTGCGCGTGCGTGCGTGCCTGCGTGTGGCGTGGTTGTGGTTGTTGTGGGTCGGTGGTGTGTATGTGTGTTGTGTGTGTGTTGTGTGTGTGTGTGTGTGTGTGCGTGTGTGAGCGT